TTGAAGTAAAAGAATAAGAAGTTAATAACCTCCCCTAAGGTGAGCTGTGAGCTCAGGTGGGCAGGACCATGTCTGGGTTCTCAGTATTTTCTAGTACTTTGTAGCTCTGTCCATACAAAAGCCAAATCTGGATCTCCAACAACTCCACCTAATCCAGTACCAGAGGCCCTGAAGACCACAAAGGGGCAATAGACGCTAGCCTATTGATGGGGTCCCTTCCTGTACCCCAGCACGACAGGAGCTATACCTGCAATGCTAGGCCTCAAACCAGGGACAAAGGGCCAACTAAGGTGCTTATTAACATATTACCGCAGACCCTGGCCACCAGATTCTTCCAGCATCACTCAGTCCCTACCTGTTACAGATTCTCCTGGCTGGCATAGCACACTCATTACCCCAAACGTCTCTAGCCCAAGGACAGTCATTTTGCTAAGCCAGTCCTTTGACCTTTTTTATTAGGGTATATGCTTAGCTCCATGGTAAAGGGTTTGTCTGCTGTGCCTGAAGCCCCAGGCTTGATCAGCAGCAGAGGTAACCACCAGAACAATAACAACTAATTAGAACACAACAAAGACTAAAACCAAAGGTCACCCTTCACACAGGAACTAGCTAGTAACTTTGCCTGACACCACTCTACCTTCTACTTGCAGAGACAAACTTGCGTTTCCAGTTCGGAGAAGTTTTCCCTGCCATTGAGGGTTTCTCATGCTGTATAATATTTTGCTTTTATTCTGAAAATAAAGCTTGCTGAGTCAGAGGACCCAGCTAGCCACTAGGTGACCAACATTAACCATAGAGGTTTGGAGGACTGTGGACAGACAGGAGACAGGAAGTAGTAAGGCGGGGCTGAGAAAGGATCTCAGCCTTTAGGAGGAAGGAATGGAAGATATGGGAGACAGTTGGTGGCTTCTCCGCAGCTTCTCTGGTCATTCAGGTTCTTACCCCAATATCTGACTCCTATTTTCTATTGATAAAGAGTAATTAAATGCTTCATTCTCAGTATTCTGTTTCATAAACACATAATACTCATTTCTAGACCCATTCAAAGCTATCTCTCCACTGCCTGGGTTTGAAGCAGGCTTAATATTAAATATATTTTCATCTAGATGTGTGCAGAACTCATGGCTAAAAGAATTCCTTCTCAATTCTTCCCATGTTTTCAACCCCCTCACAGTCCCCTTTATAAAATGGCAGAGCTGTGTTTTTACAGAACACTGGCTTGTGGGCTGCTAAATATCTGCGTCTATCCAGGGGGCTCATTAAGCTGCTCTACCAAATGACTGAGGAAGCCCAGTCACTTGCAAATCTTCCTTACTTGGTGGCTTGGGGCCCTCCCATCACCCCTCCCTCTCTCTCCAGAGTCAGGCTCATCTCAGCAGGAAGCTCCTTCCATCCCTACCCAGTTTCTTCTTTAATGGCATTTATTATATATTTGAGCATCGTGACATCTTCTTCCGGGGCAGAGCAGGATAAACCCCCACTTCTTACTCTCCCAAGGACTTCCTCTTGTCAGTCTGTATTCCACAGGGTCTTGCTCTGCCCTGGCTCTAATGAATTCTGGGTACTTTGAATTATCACTGTGTCTGATGTGCCACAGTCCCCAGGCTGCCTGGCTGTGAGGTGTCAAAGCCAAGAAACAAAAAGATGAAAATCCAACTGAAAGATTTTATTTGGGACTAATTGCAAAATTGGAACTACCATCTAGGACACACAGAAACCAGAGAGGCCTCTTGTAAGTCCAGAGAACAAAGAGATATTGGAGTCTTATTAGAACAAAGAAGTCTAGAGAGATGGCTAGGAGCTGCTAAGTCCTGACTGGCCATAAGCTCAGTTAGCATGTCAAGGTCTGAAGGTCAAGCCCAGCAGCTCCAGTGTGAGCTGCTAAGAAGAAAGGCAGCCCTCTTAACGATAAGGCAGGCTGTTTGGATGGACTGGCCACACAAGGCCATTCATGAACCATCTCCTGCAGCCTGCTCGTTTCTCTCCACAGCCCCTCGGCTCCACTATGGACACTGTGACCAGAGAGCTCCCTGTTCCAGTATCAGAGAACGTCCTTTCCTCATCCACATGGCCACACCCGAGGCTGTTTGCCAGGGATCCACTTGCTGAACACCCTCCTTGTTTGACAGACTGAGCATCTTGGCCAAAGTGCCACCGTGGAGAAGTGAGAGGACCAGGGGAGACAGGAGAGGATGCAGAAATCCCCAATCCCACTCAGTTGCACATGGGCTCTGTACCTATGGCACAGACAGGGAGTAGTGACTCAGCTAGGAGACATAAAAATAAAAAGTCACATGAGAACAAAACTAGGCTGGCATGCTCCTTTGAGTGACATGGGACAAAGCTGCTGTCCCAGATGGAGCACATTGCTCATGACCAGGCCACCTGCTCCTTTTCTGAACCACTATTACACAGTGAGTTCAATGTCCACCCAGGACTGGAGGGACCCCCTCATCACAAATGCTCCTGCAAGCACTTGCACCTCTGTTCTCGCTATCTACCAATAAAACATTACTGTCATGTAGTAACATGAACAGTTTAGGTTTGTTTTTTCTTTCTTTCTAATGTGTTAATGGTTTGACAATGAAAT